CAAGGTAAACAATTGTAATATTTTAACAAGCTATACACCTACACAAGATATATCTAAACAAGCTATGCAAGTCAATGATATTCTATATCATGCTAAGTTCAATTACCATTTCAAGATGTCTCAAGTACTAATTCTACATCAAATTAGTAGCATGCTCACAAAGTGATTAAACAGACTACATTTCAAGGGATTATCAACCTATTACCTCCAATATCAATTTAAGTGACCAACACACTTAAAATAAAATTAATTAAGCTCATTAATTAATTTTTTCTCTAGATTTTCAAACATATCCGAATGTCCTCAATTTAATATATGTTAAAGAACTCACCAAGTCTTACGTTAATATCACATTACAAGTTGGTTTCATACTTAATACAACTATGTGAATTAATCTTTCACAAAAGATAAATATTAAATAAATTTTGCAATTTTTATTCAAATGCTCTAAATTTAATATATGTTACACAACTCACCAAGGCCTAATTTTCTAGCATGCCACAATTTAATTCTAAACTATATATCATCATTAGAATTAAATCCTAGACAAAGAAAATAAATAAATTAAATTCTAAAAACTTGAACAAAGCATGCTCACAAGTTGTATATGCTTATAAAACAATCAATACAACAATAATATAAACCTAAGACATCCCCTACCTCAATTTGATATGAAAATCTCAAAAGACCACCGAAAAAAAAGTGCTCTGAATCCGACGATACTGAAGGGTTTTGTCGGAGACAACACGATCTACATGAACCCATAAGAAGCCCCATCAAAATTACAACTTAACTTCAAACCCGAACTCAAAATTTGGCCAAAAAGGGGTTCTAATAAGGGGGAAAGATGCGCGTGGTCAAGACAAACACAAAACGCGAAGGCACTTCGATTTTTTAACAAAGGAAAGAAGGTTCAAATAAATGAAGAAGGGTGGAAGCCCCCTTGGGCTGCCATAGCACGTTCTAGTCGTGCATGGAGAGGGGAGAAGATGACTTTTTAATTTTAAGTCCCCCTATTTATAGAAAATCTCAAAAAGTGCCCCGAACAGGCCTCTCCGGGTTCGAAAAAGTGAAATTTGAGTAGACGAGCTCAAATGGCAAAACTCCGTGAACAAAAAATATTCAAAATGAGTAAATATGAACAATGGAATAAACGATGTCAAAAACTGAGTCCCGACCAGAGAGTTATGCCCCGAACAAGTTCGACGGCAACCGGGGCTAGAAATCCTGAAACTGGAGAAAAATGACCAGAAGGAAATTCTATGAGTACACGACTCGACAAAATGTGAAAATGAATCATGTACAAGGATCCAGGCTCTAGACGAGGTATTTTGCAATAACTTTCGTTAATTGCACAATGGCCCCTCCAAAAAGTGAAAACTGCACAACTGCCCCAGAATGAAAATATCTTTCAAAAATATTTTCCTAAAAACCCATGAAACAAAATATCTTTAAAAGATATTTACAAAAAACACCCTAAGAAAACAAAAAGATTTTGAAAAACTGTGCATCCATGCCCCTATGGACACCGGGAGTAATCAGAGTACTTTACTGCAAAAGTAAGGATACGTATTTCGTGGAAACCACTTAGAATGAAGATACGTGAAGTCAAAAACCAATTCCGAACACAAGGAGTGAGGTTATGCCAACCAAGTGACAAACGGGGAAAAGACAATATAGGAAAAAAGACGAAAAGTGAATAGTGCCGAAAAACGAAAAAATGTGGAAATGACTCAGTCCTCAAAGGAAGTTGTCAATCCAAAGGAAAGAGTCTCAGAAACCATTTCCGAACACTCGAGACGACACTAAGCGACGAGAAACTGAACTCAGAAAAGAAATTTCAACAAAAAAAATCCATCCGTGAAATTCTGAGGAAAAAGAAAAAGAAAGAAATGACCGGGTCATTACAATTCCGATCGATCGAAAAGATTCCATCTTATCACTTGTACCACCCTACCTACCATACTTGTCTCTTTCCCAAAAATATCTTTAAAATATCTCAGATTTGTTTTTATCCAAAAAGGCATCGCCATAGAGGATCGATCCAGCTTAAATTCAATAGATCTTAGGCATGTTCAATCGATCTCACCACAAGTTTGATCAATCGAACTTCCTAAAGCCTGAGAAAATCCAATTTTCAGCTCATTAAAAGTTGTCTCATATCCAATCATTGGAATGAATATTGGTGTACGAGACCAGCTCATTGGGGTGACATTTAACCTACCTATATAAGGAATATGAGCCATTCTTGACACATAGTAGATACATACACTAGAGACACAATTTTCATATTCTTAGTGAGGAAGAAAAGAAAGGAGGAGGCTAGAGACACAAGCTTGGAGCTCTTCCATCAACCAAGAAGAGGAGCAATCTCTACCATGGAGTTAGCCCTTGAGGGTTAGAGGACACCATCCATGAGTGGCTAAACATCCTCTTGGGGCTAAAGTTAGCCCTAAGTATGCTTTCTACATCTTGATCTATATATTTTTTAGAGGATTTGTATTGTGATATATGTTTTGACATATTTATATACACAGATCTTGTTTATTCAATGATTTGTGTGGTTTAATGCTTCCAATTGATCATCTTATTCTATCCATATGTCTATGTATGCTAGAATAGATGTTCATGTGTTTGTCTCAATTTCTTGTGTTATTGATGCATGTCTATATGTATTAATGCTATAGATCTAGAGATTGTCAAGACATAGTGCTTAATGAAATGCACTTGTGGTTTATTTGATGGTTCATACTTATTTCTTGATGGATTGTGCCTCTCCCTTAGTTTAATTAGTTTAATTTCATGTCATTAGCTTAATTGTAGTGTAGTTGTAGTTTAGATGTTAAATAGGAGGACAATCCATGCTTGTTGTTTGATGTTCTATACTTATGAAAGCAAACAACATATATCTCTAACCTTGTGATGTGTTTGGTTTGTGAGCTTAAAGAAAGGATTAATGGCTTAGTTTGATATATTGTGTTATCCACCATGTTGGTTAGAAAATATATGCTTAATTTATCATCCATACTTGTTGAAACAACCACACACACACTATGTTGCAATACATGTTTCCCCTCTCATTAATCATTCAATAAGGGTGTAGAAAAGTTATACTTAATGATGATCTCTAAATCCCAAGATCTCTCTCTTATTTTCTCTCTATTATATTTAATTGCCTACTTTAGTTTAAATTGCATCTTAATGTAATTCAACCACCAACCAATCTTTTGATCACTCGACCTACTAACCCTAATCTCGATTCCACAACCTAATACGACCCACCAATCCCTTGGGACGATCCCTACTCGCCCTAACTATATTTTTAGTGAAAGGTAGTAGTGGCAATTTCTAAATGTAAAACTTGGCCACATTCATCATAACCCTACACCACTATCTTTTGGTGCACAAACTTTGGATTGGGCTCAACGACGGAGCACACCAGATATGAAATAATTAATGATAATACTTAGAGCGAACTCTTAAAGTGAATTGTTTGACCTACAACTTTTATTCGGTCATTGCTGCATTGGACGACTATAAAAAAAATGGATACTTACATATGTGGAACACTTATTTGTCAGCTAACACAATCTCTTTTACATAAACAGACATTTCCTTACAAACGTTTCTCTTTCCTCTCATTTTATTTTTTTTGAAAAAAAGGTATATCATCTCCTCTCACTCTTTCCTCTCAAATTCCCTCACCAAATTTAGGGGAAAAAGGAAAGAATAAAAGTGTAACAAACACATTAGAAACAAAACTTTAATCTCACAGATGGAACAAGATTAATGTAGGAACAAGATCAATGTCTTGCATTGAAGGGAACACCTATGGATAGTATACAACGGTGCTTAGGCCTCTCCTACTCTTGTCAAGAACTCTATAAAAATCGATCATGGCATTGATTTACTATATTGTCCTTACAGAAAAGTTGTTTTTTAATTCAAAATCAACGCATTCTTGACTCTCACTTCATCTCAATCTCTCTATCTCCATTTATTAGCTGTTTTAGAAATTTCTATTTACGAGACCCATGATCGATCTCTCTCTCAGTCCTTCTAGTATCTCTCTCTACCAAACCCACGATATCTCTCTAGTTCTCGTTCTCTATCTCTCTCTACATATTATCGGTGGCTTCCATTAATTCAAGTTAACGCCAAATGGCTAGGACCAAATCTAATATCCATAATATTATTAGAGAGATACATGTATTTTGGTTCAACCATTGGTTAAGTGGTGAGAGCCATTTAGACCCAAAGCCAAGGTTGAGCCACACAGAAATTGGTCTAAACAGTTGGATATGAACTCATTTTTGCTATTGGTAGATGGAGACTGTTTTATCTTGGGCGTAAATTGTTTTGAGAAGATCGTATTCAATACTAACTTCAGTCTAGATTTTTTATTTTTTTATTTATATTGTTTTATTTTACATATTTAATTAAATATTGTAATGAACATTTAATTAGTTATTTCTTAATATATTATTAATTATTTCATAACATATTAGTATAAGTTTGTTGTATCTAGATACCATATTGAAGCATATAATTTCCAACATTGATTTTTGTTGCTCTGTTTTTTTTGTTTAATTTTAACTTCTTTTGAGATCTCATTCTTTTAGGAAAAAAAGTATGCAATACCCCAGTATCCTGTTCAGAGAAATTATTAAATAGTTCTGAATAATTAATGCTTTGTGGACAAGTTTAATCCACAATTTCTGAAATAAGAAAAGGACTCCACAAGAGTTAGTTTTCATTGGAATAGTCCCGTCTAATAAGCCTTACTTAAAAAAACTCTCAATTTGACTTGATTTATGAGAAATAGATACTTTTCACAAACGAAACAAAAAAATACTAAAAAAAATTTTAAAAAACAAAAAAACATGATTGTGCATTAATTGGACCGAAATAATACCCTTCTAGTATTGTCTAATTTCTCCGTTTGAGAATATAGATGCCTGTGTGTTTTGTTTGTGAACATATATATATAGAGAGAGAGATAGAGTATATAAGTGAGTTGGTCATAGCTTCTTAGTCATACAGAACTTTCTTATTGAGAGAAAACCATGGGTATATCAGGTTCTTGGTCTTTAAAAGAGATGAATGATCAACTCCAACAACACAGGATAATATTACCTACACCATGGACCAAGTAACGTCCACTTTTCTTAAGCTCATATCCAGCCCCAAAGCATTCCACACACCATCCGATCCAACAACAATGTTATGTTTCTCGTCACAACCGCGCATTGAATCGCACTTATCTACAACCTTAGCCATCACATTCATCCCATTACTAGCAGCTATGCGAATCATCTTCCCACATCTCGATCCATTGTCGAACAATCTGCTAGACAGACCCACGACCAGTTCCGATTTGTCGTGGTACTGCTCATCACACTCCGATTTCCGTCGGCCATCGCCTCCTCCGCTAAAATATTTGTTAGTAAGTTTGGCGCGTGTGGGAGGGGAGCACGGGGAGGGGCCGGAGACAAGCTTAGGAGAACAGGGTTGGTTCCCGCAGTTGAAGCCGCCGGATGGGACACAACTAGGGGGACCACTAGAGCTCCCGGGAAGAGTTGAGATGATACAGAAAGAAAGATAAAGAGAGAGCAATTTAAGATTTGCCATACTCAAATAGTAGTACTATTGTTGTTGGGATAACAGAGTGGTGCGTGCTTATATAATAGATGTCTTTGTTTGGAAGGCATTGGCGTTTATTACCTACAAAGTCTCTGTGTTACCTACTCTAATCGACCTCATGTGCAATTTGTCAGCCAGTTTACATTTATGATAGTGAATGCGTGGGTCCTGATGTTCACGTCATCCCATTTTTTTCGTTTATAGAAACTAAAAATTATTAGATACTTGTACACCATTTGTCCCAATGATAATTGATTAAGTCATCTCATTTTCGTTGATGATAGAGAAAGTATTAAATGGTTTTGGGCCATGTGTCATTTGATGATTCATTCAATCAAAATTAATATTTGAATTTATTTGTAATATTTTAATTTACTATTGTGAGAATTGATTTTAAATAATAATAAATTAATATATATATATATATATATATATATATATATATATATATATATATATATATTTATAAAGATTGAACTAGTCCACCAAATCTTATTAACGATCCACAACTATATAATAATTTCCTGAATCGAAGAGTTTTGAATAAAATTCACATCTTTACTCTATAAAATTACTCTACTACTCCACGTTTATATATGGTTGTATTTACAATGAAATGGTGCAATTCTAATTAAAAAAGCAATTTTACATTATATATACTCCGTACTATAGTTCAAATAAGTATTTGTGCATAGTACTTTTGGAGGCAATCTCATTATTTAGAAGTGTTGAATTTAATTTTTGTGATAATTTGATTTTTTGGTGAAGCTGTCGATAAGCACTCGTTGTGTTTCCTTTTTGAGAAATTGACAATTGATTTTCAGAAATCCGATACGCAGATACATCCTAAATAGCTCAACAATAACTAAAGTAGTCCATACGGATATAAATACACACTATAGGATGCTCACTAGACTATAGTGTAGTCTTAGCCTGAATAGAATGTAACATGCAAATCGCACGTAACGTGGTCATGTATACCTAGACCTACCAAGGAACAACAACTATGTCCATTTATCCATCCTAGGCGATATACGCACCCTAACTATGATCCTGAGACTCAAGCTCATATCAAGGCACCATAAAGATATATATATATAATCCGTTCAAGGTATGACATTCAAATGTTTATTAACCTGTCATATCTATAAGTAGGACTTAACTTTTATAGTTAATCCACCTTACTTCAGAATAGGTAGGACTTAGTGTTTTGAATTAATCCATTCACAGAATAGGTAGGTCTTAGTGTTTTGAACTAAGCCACGTATCCCTAATATGCCACCGTCCCATACCGGCGGATATACACATATATAAGTAGGACTTAACTTTTATAGTTAATCCAACCTGTTTCCATATAGGTAAGACTTAGTATTTTTAACTAATCCGTCCCTAATATGCCACCGTCCTATACCGGTGTATACAAAACACAAGTCCGTATAATTGATAAAGCAGGAATAAGTAACTCATCAATCATACTCCAAAATTAGCATAAATAAAGTCTAACATGTGTATGACCAAATTATGCATCCAATATAAGATCTAAAAATCCTATTTCAGTCCTTTATATTGATAAAGTAAGATTAAGCATTTAATCTTCCAAATCGTTCATAACTTGATACAATTAAAAGCAAGTTAAATACCGTTTTATTCCAAACCAAGCATAGTTAATTTCAAGTAATTCACTACACTTACACCTCTATTTAAATATGATTAAACAGTATTAAATCATATATAAAAGAATCTCCAAGTTCCAATATGTAAGTTGATTAACAACCAAAGTGCAATATGTAGGATTTTTCCCTAAGTTCATACTGTCCATTCCTTAATCCATTTATGAATTATTGTTTCCCTATATTTTTAAAGGTCCATAGCACTTACCTACACCATTTACTACAATTTAAACGGACTAAAAATATCCTGCACTGTCCAAACGCAGTCTAAAAACCATCAATACGCAATTCTGGGCAAGAGCAGGCTTTCACAAATTGAGAGCCTGCTCCATTAACATGGGAGCCTGCTCTAAGAAGTTGGGAGTTGGCTCCACACTCCTTAGAGCCAGCTCCATCAATGAAGGAGTTGGCTCCCTCCTTTTGGGAGCCTGCTCTCTCACTCCCTGAAGTCGTTTCACGGTTCTGCTTCGTCTTCCTCGCCTCCGGCGATTCCCAAGGCCTCTGTAATTCTTTTAATACTTATTCCAGTGTTTAATCAATGTCCCAGAACATTTATAAGGCATCGACATGCATCAACAATATCAATTAAACCAAGCTTAAACGCAAAGATAGTAGGAACCAATTAACAGAACTTTAAGAATTTGCAAACCAGTTTAATTCAACCAGATTAAATATAGTTTAAACATGCATAAAAGATTTATTTTAGCATTCATTAAACCCCTGGAGTCTACCTAGGCATGCACAAAATACAAGTTTAAGGAAAAGAGATAGAATAGAGACTTGCCTTCGGTTTCAGTTTTGAAACCTTAGACCGTCGTCTTTAATAATTCCGGTGACCTTACTGCTTTCACCAACCATTGTTGCTCCTACTTCAACCCACGAGCAAGCCAATTTATCTTCCTTGGTTCAGTCTTAGTCTAAGTCAAACCCTAGCCTTCCTCTCTCGAACCTCTCTGTTCTTTCTTTCTGCCTCCCCAGTTACGGGAAAAGGGTTTTAAAACCCTTGCAGACCTATAACTTTTATATATATAGGCCTCAATGAAAACCTAATTATAATTCCCCACTCATACTAAGTCGGCTAAACCAAATCCCGTGATTTCATAAATAAAAACAAAACCCTAATGTACTCCAACTAATGCAATTACATAATTAAACAATTACTTAAATGAACGAAAATAATAATCATACAATTAAGTAAATTAAAGAAAAAGCAAACTACGATTAAATAACCAATTAAATTAAACAATTCATTTAAATAAACAATTAAATTAAAAATTTTATTTAAATAGCATAATTCACAATTAATTCAAATAAACAAGCAAATAAACCATTAAATCATTCAAAATGCCATTAAATAATTAATTAAAATACCAGGACTATCCTTTTAAAATTAGGGGTATTACAGGATTGGTCATGGTAATGAACGAGGTGGCCTCTATCTTTTGGATGTAGCAGCTACTTCAACCTCAGTTCATGTTGTGCAGTCCACTACTAGTTCATTCCGTGACATTTGGTTATGGTACAAGCGTTTAGGACATCCGTCATTTTATTATTTAAAAAAAATTGTTTCCTTCTTTATTTTTTGTTGTTCATGTTTCTCAATTTCAATGTGAAATTTGTGAACTTACTAAACAACATCGGGTACCTTTTTCATTAAGTATTAATAAAAGTGCCTTTTCTTTTGCTCTTGTTCATAGTGATGTTTGGGGCCCTTCTCCTATGACTAATCTGTCAGGTTCTAAATGGTTTGTCACAATCTTATAAAGGAAAAAAGTGAAGTTTTCTCCATTTTTAAGTCATTTCATCAAATGATCCATACACAGTATAATTCAAAGATAAAATTCTTCCGCTCTGATAATGGGGGTGAGTACATTTATTTTGGTCTCCAATCCTATTTTTCTAATCATAGCATTATCCATCAAACTTTTTGCACCGATAGCCCTCAACAGAATGGAATAGCTAAATGGAAAAATCGTCATCTTCTTGAAGTATCCCATTCTCTGCTTTTATCCGTGACAATACCAAAGTCATATTGGGGGGAGGCTGTTCTCACAGCAACCTATTTGATTAATCAGATGTCTTCCAGAGTTCTTCAATATCAAACTCCATTTCAATTCTTTACTACTTCTTATTCGCCATCTACTGTTAATCATCTTCATCCTCAAGTCTTTGGTTATATAAGCTTTGTCCATGTACATCACAGTGGTAACCTTTACCCTCGTTCCCTCAAATGCATTTTTCTCAGTTATTCTTGTATTTAAAAGGGTTACAAGTGTTATCACCCTTCGTCAAAAAATTTCTTTGTCTCTATGGATGTTACTTTTCATTAGGAGCAGGCCTATTTTTCTAGTCTTTCTTCTACGACTTCTGTTCAAGGGGAGACCTTGAGTAATGAAGAAAAGTCTTATATTGTGCCTATGTTTGAATTAAAGAGTAGAAACGAAACAAATGGAAAAAAAAATGAAAAAACAGAAGGCGGTTCTTTGACTCTCCCTCCAAAAGGTCATCATATGTCTCCACTTGAGTTGGTGTATGTAAGAAGAGAAAAGGTACCTCTCGAGCAAAATGATCAGTCTACCCCGATAATAAGTAATCCTGAGGTAAAGTCTGTTGAATCTCCATTCTGTTTTGTTCATAATAGTTCTGTAGATCCTAATGCATTAGATGCTTTTAATATTGTTAATGACTTGGAATTGCCTATTAACTTGAGAAAATCGCATCGTACTTGTCAACCAAAATATAAATATCATATTTCAAGTTTTATGCCTTCACATCGTCTCTCACCAGCCTTTAAGGCTTTTGCCCATCAATTGTCTTATATATCTATTCCCAAAAAATTACAGGATGCACTTGATAATCCAAGGTAGAAAGAGGCGTTGGTTGAAGAATTGAGAGCTCTCTGAAAAAACTCTACGTAAGAGTTAGTAGAGTTGCCGAAAGGGGAGAAAATTGTTGGCTGCAAATGGGTGTTTACCATAAATCATAAGGCAGATTGGTGGCAAAGGGCCATACTCAGACATATGGCATTGATTATCAGGAGGCGTTTGCTCCAGTTGCGAAAATGAATAATATTTGGGTTCTGATATCTTTAGCAGCTAACCTAAAGTGGACTCTCCAATAGTTTGATGTTAAGAATGTTTTCCTCCGTGGAAATCTAGAGGGGGAAGTGTACATAGAACTTTCTCTAGGTAGTGATGAAAGTACCAATAAAGGGAAAGTATGTAAACTAAGAAAATTATTATATGGCCTGAAACAGTCTCCTAGAGCATGGTTTGCTATATTTGCACAAGTTATGCAGAAGTATGGATATCATCCTAGTCAAGCAGATCAAACGTTATTCCTTCGATACT